GCAGAAAAATGCATGCCCAGGTTAAATCATTTGCCACATGCATTTTTAAGGGGGGGAAGGGCAGAGGGCGAGGGACAGAGAGAATCTCAATCTCATGGCAAATCAAGAGTCAGATGTTTGAGCCACCCACGAGCCCCTAGTCACATGCATTTTACCTGGTCTAAGTGGTCTGTAGTTTGAAAACTATGACAGTTTGTTGATTTTACCCGCTTAGCCATTGTAGTACCTTCTTTGAAAAGGTCAATTTACTACCTATCACTTAAGTGTTCATTTTTGTTATTTGTTTATTCCACAAAAATATAGCAACTAGACAAGAAATTAACGCTTGTGTTCCTGGAGACTACTATTAGCTTCAGATATAACATACAGATATGCATCATACCTTACCTTAAAGTACCAGGAGAGTTCTAATGGTAGGCTTATGTATTAACCTAAGTATAATTGTTTTAATTCTTGTAAAATAAATCAGATAATTAGATTTGTTCAAAGTTTTATATATTTTTATTCTTGAATTACAACCAAATATTAGTTGTAACATTTTAGATAATTTGAAAACTTGTTAAAAGTTGTAGTGCCTATAATTCACCTGAAATGGTATCAAAAGGAGGTTAAAAACTATAAAGGTCTGTGTTGACATCATATTGTGACCCATGTGTCACAGAAAAGGAAAACAGCGAATGATTACTGAGAACATTTTTGGGAATAATATTTAAAAGGAACAATTGGTCGTTAACTAATATAAGTACATCTTCTATTCATTCATAAAATACATTAATATTACACAGGAAAAGTGAAATCATTAGAAGTACAATTATATTGATTCACTTTAACTTAAATATACAACTAATCCACAGAGATGGGAAACACCCTAATGTAATATCCCTAATGGAATGAGATTGAACTGTGTGCAATTTAGTTTTTAAGACAAAAAGAGATATCCTCTGAAACACATACTCAAAACATATTACAGAGATTTCAGAGGACAAAAACCTGTAAAGTTTTGATACCACTTGTGACAGTTAATGTTCCTGAAAATAATGACACAGGTAGAAATCTGTGAAGACTTCATAAGAAAAGTATGTCATACTTGTCTATGAGACTAAGTTTCCACCAGAAAAAAAAATAGCTTCATTAAGTGACTAAGACCAGGGATAAACTAGCTATTCTAATGGAAAGAACATAAATATAATTGAATTTGCCATAACCACAATCAATACAGCCCCATGTTCTGGTTAGTGACACTCCAGAGTATTGTGCCTTTCTACTTGGCTGTTCTAACATTTCAAACATAACATTTCTAAAAGCTCTCTATTCCCACCAAATCTAACATTCTCCTTTGACTTTAATTATAAGTAAAGATATTTTCATTTTTCCCACCACTTAAGTTTTGGTGTTTTGACTTTTCTTTTTACCCATACTTCCAAATTCAGGTATCAGCTCTTCCCTTTGAATGTTTCCTGCTTTAAATGCCTCCTTTATTACTTTTATTGCTACTCTAGTTCATGAATATATCATCTTACACCTGGACTACTACAATATTTTCTAATGTATTTTCCCAGTCTCCTGTTTCTCTACATTTATATTTCAAACCAATTGCTACTGAAATAATCATCATAAATTAATACTATGGACACATTGCTGCTCAAAAATGTCAGTGGTCTCCCTTAATGAGAGAAGATGGTTTCAACACATAGACCAACATTTAAGGATCTCCATATTAGAACTTGTGCAGGCTGTGTAATGCAAAAATGTTATTCCACAGCAATAAAAACCACTGGGTTATAATTATTTAAGATTATTGAAAAAATTATGCTAGGTAGCCAGAATGATTGGAGGGAAGAGAATGCTGTTAAATTAAGGGCAATAGGTTGGAATAAGGAAGTAATCTCTTGGGAGTTTAGATCCCATAATTACTAAATATCTAAGGAAACACTTCATGTTGGTGTTTGGAAACAACAGTCCATGAATATTTTTTATGTTTCTATATGGTCAGAGCTTTGAGAGCAAAGAACACTGGTACTTGGGTTTAAGGAGAATTGAATGGTAAACATGACTTCGAAGTTAGACATTGTGTATTGCTCCAAGGGAATGTAAAGTGGGCTCTCCCAGATCCATTTGCTTAGATTCTAAGTACAGTGTGCGAGTTGCCCTGCACATGCTCCAGGTTTCATAACTGCATCTCCTCTAGTGCAACCACTGCACGCAGTGACATTTTGCTGTCATTGCATTTCCGTGTGGAGGATTGGGGCACACGGAATCAGTACTGCTCAGATTGCTCTGTGAATAAATAAAAAAGTCTGTTTTCTGATCCAGAAATATAGTGTTCCTGTTAATAGATGGCAGATACATATGGATATAGATGATACAGATATAGATTATTATAGAGAGATACACACATACTCTGTATATATGCACATATATAAATAAATATCATCTATGAATGTATATGCATACATATGTGTATTATTGTATGTATCATATATTATTATATGTATATATATAATCATATATAAAATGTGTATATGCGTATATATGTGTGTGTATACGTATATACGTCTATACAGGATTCTCCCACTATCTGAAAGAAGAGCTTTCCTATGAAAATTTCTGTAGGCTGAAACAGTTTAAGTGAAGAAACAATTATCATTAATTTATATTAAAAAGTTTTGAACATTTCAGACTCAAAAAACAACCTCTCTTAAGCTTTTCTGAAAACTTAGGACACATCTTACTAAGGATGCACAAAATAAATTGAGATAAAATAGATGTTCACAGATACAATTCAAAGTTACAGTGGCTTGAGATGCTGGGATGCTGAGATGCTGAGATGCATCTTTCCTGGGGAAAGAGCTTGGGGGGCCACTCTGGCTGCTAAGGGTGAGTTTGCTGCAAAACACATGCCGAACGCTATTTTTGCTTTTCACCTTTTCCTATAAAAGTAGAAGTCCTTTTCGCATTTCTTTTAGTTAGCAAAAACACATACAAATGTAGGTCTTTCATAAAAGCAAAGTGGCCTAATATAAACTTTTGAAAAGCGGGGTATGCCTGCTTGAGTGTGTGTGTGTGTGTTTGGGGGGGTGTAAAACTGCAGCAGGCTATCCTGTTAGCAGGGTAATACCTAAGGTCCTGCATAGTTTCAGACCTGTTAGCATCAGTTGTCTAGTCAGAGTAGTAGTCACTGTAAATAGGATTGGGCTAGTCTTCTGCAATAGGATTTTTGAAGCAATGATCTATTTCATAAATAAAACAGTGCAGCTTAATTAAGGATCATGCAGCTTCAATATTAATGATTTTAAGCTATTGAAAATAGCCTGAGGAAAGAAAAAATTCAGGTCCTCAAATTTGGAAGGATACCATCTCACTTACTGGAAGAAGCAGTTAGGGAGATAAATAAGAATTTTCGATCCATGACAATAGGAAAATTCCCATTACCTGGCACTAATTAGTGCCCTCTGGCTGTTGGAGTTGATAATTTTGAAAAACATGAAATTTCAAATTGTGTTGAGATGGCTTGGGGTTAAGGTTGAAGGTACTTTAAATTAAACTGAATTTTTCACAGTTATGTTGTCTACTCATACCTCCCATAGATGATTCCTGGTCTTTGTGCCACTCCTGAAGGTGGTCGTTTATACCCTATTTATGGTAACTAAATCAATTGACTGAAATAGGTATTTCCATAGGTATTAGAAATAGAGAAGGAATACAAGCAAAAGACAAGTGTTCTTGGTCAAAGAAATTGTGATGATCACTGGGTGTTATAAGCAACTAATGAATCGTTGAACAGTACATCAAAAACTTTTTTTTTTTTTTTTTTTGGTGCTGGTCTGGGAGACTCAGATCTCTGGGACTGGACTAGTTGTCCAGGAAGCCTGGGGTGGGGTGAGAGGAAGAAGGGCACAAAGAGGCTTTAGCCACTCTGCCGAGATGTCCAGCAGCCCTGGGTGGTGTTCTGACCCCAGCTGCTCTTTGGTTTCTTCAGCCCAGGGGCACCTCTTATCAATAGATCCAACTGTGTCTTCCCCTCAGGTAGAAGGGACCCCAGCAGGCTCATTTCTCTGAACATTGACTGAGCTCCTACTGAGTGTAGGTGACAGGGCTTCGGGGAATACAGAGATAAATAGGATCTGGACCCTTCCCTCCAGAAACTGTTCAACTGGAGACAGCCAGGGAAGTCCAGGGGGCATAGAAACCCAAAGGACAGGTTCTTGAGGGTCCAAGAAGGCTTCCCAAAGGGTATGCCCCCAGAACCAGGCCGGGTATGTGGGCTAACTAAACGTAAAAAAAATAAATTCCACATTTCCATAACTAAAAAAAGTGTGTAATCCAGGTTCTTAGGCCAATTCTAAAACATAATGCGGTTATATTTTTTCTTGTTTTTTTTTTTTAAAGATTATTTATTTATTTATTTGAGAGAGCGAGAATGAGAGATAGCACGAGAGGGAAGAGGGTCAGAGGGAGAAGCAGACTCCCTGCTGAGCAGGGAGCCCGACATGGGACTCGATCCCGGGACTCCAGGATCAAGACCTGAGCCAAAGGCAGTCGCTTAACCAACTGAGCCACCCAGGCGCCCCTTTTCTTGTTCTTTTTAAAAAATATTATTTTATTTAAATTGAATTAATTAACATATAGTGTATTATTAGTTTCAGTGGTAGAGTTTAGGGATTCATCAGTTGCATAAAACACCCAGTGCTCATTACATCAAGTGCCCTCCTTAATGCCCATCACCCAATTACCCCATCCCTCCACTCACCTCCCCTCCAGCAGCCTTCAGTTTGTTTCCTAGAGTTAAAAGTCTTTTATGGTTTGTCTCCCTCTCTGATCTGACCTTATTTTATTTTTCCTTCCCTTCCGCTATGATCCTCTGTTTTGTTTCTTAAATTCCACATATCAGTGAGATCATATGATAATTGTCTTTCTCTGATTGACTTATTTCGCTTAGCATAATCCCCTCTAGTTCCATCCATGTCGTTGAAAATGGCAAGATTATATTCTTTATTTTTAAGTCTAATAAAGTTTATCAGTTTTCTTTGATTGCCTCTGTTCCAGATTGAGAAGGGCTCTCTGGGTTCTTCTGGCCTTGTTTTCGGGCTGCTGCTACTCTAGCTTTTAAGGCCCTTTTTTTGCTTCTTAAGCTTTTGTACCTCCTGGAAAACCCGAATGCACAGGGCCTTCTTGGTTGCCCAGCGTTGGTGGCCTTTCCAGTGGTACAGAGGGGGAAAGGTGTACTCAATCCCCAGCTCCTTGCATGTCTTCTCAAAGACACTGTAGTTGGTCTTATGGAGGTTTTTGAGCATCTTTTTCCTCTGGTCAATGCTCATCAGCAAATAGTGCTTGTGGGCTTTTTCCTTTCGATGTTTCTGCATGTGTTCTTCATAATTGCTAATCTTGACAGTCAAGGCAACAATTCGAGCCTCCAGGGAGCTAGTGTCCTCAGGGTTTGCCACAATCTTGTTCGTCAACTGCTCTTGCTTGATTTTTAGCTTCTCTTTCTGGTTGGCCATTTCCAAAGACAAGAGTCTTCTCATGACATCATCAAACCTGGTTTCTGGGTGCCATATCCCCGAACGGCTGAGAGGATGACAACTCGAGGAGAGGGAAGGCCCCATTGGCAGGAGGGAGGCCTGGCACTTGCTCTGCCCAGCAGCCCAAGGACTCAGATTTCATTATTTTTGATGGCTGAGTAATATTCTATTGTGTGTGTGTGTGTGTGTGTGTGTACATATATATACCACATCTTCTTTATCCATTCATCTGTCAGTGGACATCTGGGCTCTTTCCATAGTTAGGCTATTATGGACATTGCTGCTGTAAACATTGGGGTGCAGGTGACCCTTAGGATCACTATGTTCGTATCCTTTGGGTAAATATCTGGTAGTGCAATTGCTGGGTTGTAGGGTAGTTCTACTTATAACTTTTTGAGGAACCGCCATACTGTTTTTCAGAGTGGCTGTACTAGTTTGCATTCCCACCAGCAGTGTAAGAGGGTTCCCCTTTCTCTGCATAATGCTGTTATATTTTAAGCAGTAGTTCTACTGCTGAACTATGCACCCACACTTCCTATTGTGCTTCTGTTCTTGATGTTAGTAAACACAAAATCAGGGCCTTATTAGAACCAAAGAAAGAAATCACTTTAGGAGTGGATTGTAACAAAGGGAGTAATGGAAGAGAAAGGAGAGATGGATGTGCATTTGCCCTGGCATTTCAAACATAAAGACACTGCATAAAGATTCAGCTCCTATTAAGTTCTCTTCTGGAACAGAATCTTGCTGGATCTCTTTGGCTAATCTTGGAGAGGATGAAAGTCACCGATAGAAAATTGAACAGTGTCATTCACCTTTTACAGATTAGCCTGGTAGCTCGAGCTACCGAGAGCCTGAGCTACTTTGGAGAAAATGTGTGACATCATATATGGCTTTCATATACCTAACAGGCAGAAAATGAAATAATTTATAATGAACATGAGCTGAATGACCTCTGCATGTCACTTCTAGCAACCATCTATCTTTGCTCACCACATAGACTATGGCTGCAAGCCCTGCTGTGTGTACTCTTTAATCCACACTGCCCCATACGTCTTTAAGAGAACTGCATGATCAGCAATTTCAAGATCCCTAAATATACATGATTAATATCAGTGGAGGTTAATTATAGCTACCCATAAAGCTTCATTATAATCTAGCAGAGAATGAAACCAATCTGAACATTTTAATTATAATATAAATTACAATTATTTAGTCAGAGTAGTAGTCACTGTAAATAGGGTTGGACTAGTCTTCTGAAATAGGATTTTTGAAACAATGATCTATTTCATAAATAAAACAGTGCAGCTTAAGTAATGATCCTGCAGCTTAAATATTAATGATTTTGGTTGAAACTCTAACTACTGTTCTGAATATCATGTAAAATAAGTAAAAAGGAGGATGTACATTTTGTCTTGTCTTATGGTAGACAACTCTAATTTGATCTTAATCATTGTCTCTTGTAATATTAACATGAGTAGTCCGTACATGCCCTTTTATATATTGATTTGTTTTTAACACCACAGGAATTCTCATAAACATACAATAATTAGAACATCATCTGTAAAACACACCAATCTACATGCTCCTCAAAGGACAGAATTTGTAAATATTTCAGATTTCTGTTAAATGTTCAATTGAAAAAGGATGAGCATTAACATTTAACAATAAGCGACTGAAAAAAAAAGAGATAAAATTTTTCAAATGAGGACTGTCTCAGAAAGATTCTTTAGAGAAAGCAACAGACATTGGATTATTGATACTTATTGGTAATAATAGTACAGTTTGAAGTGTAATAGTAAGAGCCAGAATCAAGGTCTCAGAGAATTATTGAATATACTCTTAGACCTATATTATATAATATCTTCACATCCAAGTATAGCTTTGGCATTAGCCCAGTGAAATTGCTTTAAGATTCCTGAACTCCAGAAGTGTAGGAGAACACATTTGTGTTGCATGGTAATTTCTAACAGCAGCAATAGGAAACAAAGAATTTTTAAGCTCTTTTTTTTAGGCAAAATTAGTATATAACATATTAGTTTCAAGTGTGCCACACAATAATTTGATATTTGCATGCATTATGTAATGAAATGTTACCACAGTAAGTCATTACCATTTGTCACCATATAATCAACCCCCTTTACCCTTTTCACTCAGCCCCCAAAATCCTTCCCCTTTCATAACCACTTCTCTATATCTACTAGTTTTGTTTGGTTTTATTTGTCTTGTTTTTGGATTCCACATATAAGTGAAATCATTGGTATTTGTCTTTCTCTGTCTTACTTATTTCAATTAGCATGATACTCTCAAAATCTATCCATGTTGTCGTAAGTGGCAAGATTTCCTTCTTTTTTATGCCTGAGTAGTATTCCTTTGTGTATGGGGAGGATAGAGATAGAGATAGACATACATAGATATAGGTAATATTATTTATCCATTCATCCAGCCATGGACGCTTAGGTTGTTTTCATATCTTGACCATTGTAAATAATGCTGCAATAAACATAAGGCTGCATATATCTTTTTGAATTAGTGTGTGTGTGTGTGTGTGTGTGTGTGTGTGTGTGTGTGAGATAAACAGCCAGTAGTGGAATTACTGGTTTATACGGCAATTCTATTTTTAATTTTTTGAGGAATCTCTATACTGTTTTCTACAGTGGCTGCATCAATTAGCATTCCCACCAACAACACATGAAGATTCCTTTTTCTCCACATTCTCACCAACACTTGTTATTTCTTTAGCTTTTGACTTTAGCCATTCTGATTGGTGTAAAGTGATAACTCGTTGTGGTTTTGATTTTCATTTCCCTGATGATTAGTGATATTGAGCATCTTTTCATGTGCCTGTTGTCCATCTGTATGTCTTCTTGGGAAAAATATCTATTTGGGTCCTCTGACCATTTTTAATCAGATTATTTGATTTTTGGTATTGCAAACTTGCATAAGTTTTTTATATATTTTAGTTATTAACTTCTTATTGGATATATCATTTGCAAATATCTTCTCCCATTTTCATTTTGTTGATGGTTTTCTTCACTGTGCAAAAACTTTTTATTTTGGTGTAGTCCCAATACTTTAATTTTGCTTTTGTTTCTCTTGCCTAAGATACATCTAAAAAAATTTTTTGTGGCTGATGTCAAAGAAATTATTGCCTATTTTTTCTCTTAGGAGTTTTATGGTTTCAGGTTTCACATTTAAATCTTTAATTCATTTTGAGTTTATTTTTGTGTATGGTGTAAGAAAGTGGTCCGGTTTCATTCTTTTGCATGTAGCTGTCCAGTTTTCCCAGCGCCATTTGTTGAAGAGACTGTCTTTTCCCCATTGTATAGGCTCTTTTTTAATGTATGAACTTAAACATTTCATTTAAGTTGCTATACATATTTTATTGCTATGTTTGATTTTGAATTCTTATGGAACTCAATTTTAATTTGTAATATTCATTCTATGTGTAATTTTATCCACTACACTTAACATCTCGTACACTGCAATTTCAGCATCTTTAAGTGGAAATTGTGTATCAAGGCAGTCCTATGGTGTTTTTTCAGTCTTAGTCCAGATTTCCTTAATGGGAGAGCATTATGAAAGGATGTCCGATATAAGTCAATAATATCTACCCAATAGCAGAAATGATCAATAAACTAGTGTCTATAAATTCATATTTTTAGATGAGAAACTGCATTTAGGGTCTTGAATGCCTACAGGAAATACTGAAAGTCAATGCAAATCAGAATGGTTGCTTCTGCAGTAGCAATTACTTTAAGGGACCTTTTAGATGGAGGAAAATGTTTCTGTACAATAGAGTTTCTGGTAGAGAATATACTTGAGGCACAAACCTACTGCCTGGGTTTTTGCCACTACCAGAGATCAAGTACTGGGAATTTACCTTTCTCTTAATTGTTGCCAGTTCTTTTCTAGGAAAAAAAAAAAACTAGCAGAGGTTATACTTTTCTTGAGCAGACTCGTTGTAGAGAACAGAAATTAGAATTAGTATTCATGAAGTACTCATAGAACTTTAATGCCCTGATTGGAAAAAGTCTTTAAGATTATTCTTGAAAATTATTTAATCTATAACATTTCATTTTGAGTTTTGCTCTGATATTTTCTCCAAATCTATGGTTTAATTCTGAATATCCAACAAATAGAGAGTGGAGACCGTCTGTTAAATTGGTCTTTCAGATGAAGAAATGTCCCCATAATCCCTGTGAGTTCTTTGCCCAAAGAGAAGGAGTTAGCCTTCCCTTTCCATTTGTGTGTTTTACTCCACCCATCAGTGTTTCTTTATTCGACACATATTAATTATCATATGTAGAGCACTAATAGATGCTTACAATAAACATCACCATAAGAGGAAATGCAACAACTAATGAGGTGGGCAGATAAATTAGAATATGGTGTGTCACATATTTTAATAAAATGTTGAACCATGTACTGGCTGTTTATTCCAGTGAAGCTGTGTTCTATGTGAAAACTGGTTTTATATACATGCGTCCTTTACTTCTGTAATAGTCTATAAATTAGTGACTTTGGATACTGGCCTACAAAAAAATTAATAAGTCAGTTTATTATTTCAACAATCATTCACTAATTTTTCTCTAAAGTAATAGATAATCTCCTTGTCCTAGGGAACATAAATATTATTGAGGAAATGTTTTCATAAATAGTACCTATCTTTCACATAGCACAGCCTATTTTGAACTTAAACAACGGTTTTGGCCATATTCTTTTGTTATCAACTTATTCTGTAAATTTTTATCAAGTGCTTGATAAACTTTGATGTTGGTGTCAGTGAGGGACATGGTAAAACACTTTCAGAAAAGGGAATTAATATTAATTAATGGGCTGCAGGGGACATAAATTTAAATTTTGGGGGCTATTCAAATATCATTATAAGACTTAATTAGTGTGTGTTAATCAATGTAATTTTGCTCAAAGATGTGGTTTTGTTTACTCCTATCTTAAGGTACAAAGATTACTAATTATTTGAAGTGTATTATCCACCAATTATCCACCACT